CCTAGTGGCTCGGCTGGAGTTGGGGGTACTGGAGCTGCCGGGGCTGGTTGTTCTGGGAGCACTGCGACTGGAGCTGCTGGAGCTGGGGACTCTGGCGCTGGCGGTGCTAGCGGAGTTGGAGCTGCCGACTCTGGGGGTGGCGCTGCTGCTGGTGCTGCGGACCCGCCTGGTGGAGCTGCTGCTGGAGCTGAGGACCCGAGCGGTGGCGCTGCTGCTGGTGCTGGGGACCCGGACGTTGGAGCTCCTGCTGGTACTGAGGACCCGGCCGCTGGAGTCTCTTCTGCTTCTGGAGCCGCTGCGCGGCCGCGACCGTACTTCGTTCCGCTCCTTCAGCAGGTTCTTGGGCAGGCTCCTCCTCCTTGTCCTCCTCCCTCCGTAGAGTGTCCTCCGCCTGTCCAGCCGCAGTCACAGTTACCGCCTGCCTCGCCTCTCCCTGCTCCCTCTCCTTACACTGGTCCCACAGGAGGTCTTACAGAGCGTCGTGAGCCTGAGTCTCGTCCTGCGTCGCCTGTTCGTCCTGCTCGCACTGGTAGTCGTGTCCGTCGTGAGCGTCCTCCTCCTGTCCCAGGCACTCACTACATGACTCTGCGTCCCTCTACTGCTCCTCGGCGTGTCCCTCTACCGTCTCCTCCTGCGTCCTCTTTGCCTGCCATTCCGGACCCTGAGTCTGACCGGTATCGCGCTGAGCACCCTACAGTCACGCGTCTCCTAGCTACTGTTGTCACTGACCCTACCTTTGAGTCCTCGGCTGCGTCTGCTCTGGTCGCTGAGTTGGTTGCCTTTGCTGCTGCCTGTCTGTCTGTGTGTCCTCCGTCCGTCGGGGGTGAGTGTGCTCTTGGCACGGACGTCCTTGAGGACAGGCAGGAGGACTTTGACTCTCTTGCGGCTGCTGTACCTCATCTCGTGGCCTGGTTGCTTGCCCCTGAGGGAGACCCGGATGCACTAGACATCCCCACTCCGCGCACTTACGCAGAGGCGATCTCGGGTCCCTACTCCTCTCAGTGGCAGACAGCCATGGACGCAGAGATGGCATCCTGGAAGTCCACAGGCACCTACGTCGACGAGGTTCCCCCTCCTGGGGCGAACATCGTCGATGGCATGTGGATTTTCAGGGTGAAGCGGCCGCCAGGTTCTCCGCCTGTCTTCAAGGCTCGTTACGTTGCTAGAGGCTTCAGTCAGCGTCAGGGGGTCGACTTCTTCCAGACCTTCTCCCCCACCCCGAAGATGACCACTCTTCGGGTTCTGCTGCACGTTGCTGCTCAGCGTGACTACGAGCTTCACTCTCTTGACTTCAGCACAGCGTTCCTGCAGGGCAGCCTGCACGAGGAGATCTGGCTGCGCCGCCCACCTGGCTTTACTGGGTCGTTTCCCCCTGGTACCCAGTGGAGTCTCCGCCGGCCAGTCTACGGTCTCCGCCAGGCGCCACGTGAGTGGCACGACACACTGAGGACTACACTTGCGGCTCTTGGGTTCGCGCCGTCTACTGCTGACCCGTCGCTGTTTCTGCGCACAGACACGTCGCTGCCGCCGTTCTACATTCTCGTGTACGTCGACGACTTGGTCTTTGCTACTGCTGACACTGAGGCACTCGCTCGTGTGAAGTCGGAGCTGCAGAAGAGACACACCTGCACTGACCTGGGTGAACTGCGTAGCTACCTTGGCTTGCAGATCACCCGGGACAGAGCTCGCCGCACCATCACCCTGACTCAGTCACACATGGTGCAGCAGGTCCTTCAGCGCTTCGGCTTCCAGTTCTCCTCACCACAGGCCACACCTCTGGCTACCAGCCACTCGCTCTCAGCTCCACCTTCGGACGAGTCCGTAGAGCCGAGTGGCCCGTACCCAGAGCTTGTAGGCTGCCTCATGTACCTGATGACTTGCACGCGACCTGACCTCGCGTACCCTCTTAGCATCCTTGCTCGTTACGTTGCGCCTGGGAGACACAGGCGAGAGCACTGGGAGGCTGCTAAGAGGGTGCTGCGTTACTTGTGCAGTACATCAGGCATGGGGCTGGTGCTTGGAGGACGCGACAGAGTTGTCCTCACTGGTCACTCGGACGCTTCTTGGGTGGACGACCTGGCTACGCAGCGGTCGTCACAGGGTTACACCTTCAGCCTTGGCTCTGGTTCTGTCTCGTGGCGGTCCACCCGCTCTTCCTCTGTTCTCGGCTCTAGTTGTGAGGCTGAGATCTACGCCACAGCCATGGCTGCACAGGAGTTACGCTGGCTCACCTACCTGCTGACTGACTTGGGAGAGCGGCCTAGTTCTCCTCCAGTTCTGTACGGTGACAACAAGGCGGCTCTTGCCTTGTGTCAGGAGCACAGAGTGGAGCACAGGACGAAGCACATTGCTCTTCGCTACTTTCTTGCTCGAGAGCTTCAGCAGCGCGGTCAGCTTCGGCTTGTGTACGTGGACTCGAAGGCCAACACTGCTGATATCTTCACCAAGGCGCTCCCGCCTAGTGATCATCAGCGGCACTGTACTTCTTTAGGCCTTGTGTCCACGTTTCCTCACTTGCTCACTGCTTGACATTCTTTGTACTGTACTTTATATATATCTTGTTGCTTGCTTGCTAGGTTTTGATCACTGTGTTGCTTGTCTTGTACTATATCTAGCACTGCATGTGAACTGGCCTTGTGGCCTTTACTTGTGCTCGGAGTGTGGTGACGTTGTGATCCACCCTGGGCTTTGCTTTGCTTTGCTGGACTGGTCTTGTGACCCTTTGTTCTCCCCCACTTTGCCTATGGGGGTGTGTTAAACTGTATTATGCTTGTAGGCTGTAGTGGGGTAGCCAATATGGGGTACAACCCCAACTAGGGTTTCATATTTGTACCCAAACTTCTGCTAGTTCATCCATTCTTGCCTAGTGATTCTAACACAGCCCACATCGACCAACCGGTCCCCACGGAAGAAGTCGGTGGCGCTGAAGCAGCTCAAGAGGGAGCTAGAGGTCAACAAGAAGCTGCGACGACCTCAAACCTCCTCTACAGATGCATCTGAAACATTTGCAACATCTACCCTACGAGAGAATTCTACTACGAGCTCGAGAACCACGTCGTCGACGACAACAAAAAATCCTAGCAATATGGAAAGGCAGGACCGGCAACCTGGCACCCAAGAAGATACCACGAAGCTATGGGATGTGCCCTACGATCCAATCGACGATCAATGGGTACAGCAAGCAACGCCAACCACTTCTGCTCGAGGTGATCTGCAATGGACGACGCCTCCAAGCACTCGTGGACAGCGGAGCATCCCATTCAGTATGTGACAAAGCAACCCTCGAACGCATTAATGAGGAGTGCACGCCTTCAAGCTTTACAGCTACGATGGTTGACGGAATTACAAGTCTACGGTGAAGTAGCGTTACACCTACAGATGGGTCCTCTTCGCTGGAAACCGACCCTACCCGTCACCAACATCAAAGGGCTAGACTTGATTCTTGGGAGAGACTTTCTACGTCAAGCTATCAAAGAGTGAGTTTGCCTTGAAACAAGTTCAATCTCTTGGACATATGGTGAGCGCTCAAGGAGTGCATGTCGACCCGAAGAAGATCGAAGCCGTACGTACGTGGAAGTCGCCGGAGAATGTGAAAGAACTTCAACAATTCCTTGGCTTCGCGAACTACTACAATCGGTTCGTGCCACAGTATGCGAAGATTGCAACACCTCTCACCAATCTATTGAAGAAGAATACACCGTTCAAGTGGGAAGATGTGCACCAGCAAGCCATGGAGCAGTTGAAGACCGCACTCACATCCGCACCCGAATATCCTGAACCTGCCAGATCCAGAAAAAGACTACGTCATCGAAGCTGACGCTAGCGACCAAGCAGTTGGAGCAGTCTTGATGCAAGACCAAGGGAAAGGACTACAACCAATCGCTTACCTCAGCAAGAAATTGCACGGGGCAGAACTCAACTACCCGATTCACGACAAAGAGGCCTTAGCGATCATCACCGCATTCAAGACATGGCGATGCTACCTCGAAGGAAGAAAGACCACGGTCTACACTGACCATTGCAGCCTGAAGTACCTAAAAACGCAGCCGACCCTCTCCAGGCGACAGGTCAGGTGGATCGACTTCCTCGAGACACACTTCGACTACGACATCGTGTACAAGCCGGGACACAAGAATAAGGCAGACGCACTGAGCCGGCCTGGACACGTTGCCGCCATACAGGTTGAGGGGATGAATCCGCTACTTAAGGGACTCTTTACGCACGGGTACACTATCGACCCCGAGATTCCCTTGGCAGAGAAGAAGAAATTGCTGCAGTGGGACCACGACATCGCACTACGCAAAGGATCAACAAAGATATGGGTACCCAATTACCCACCTCTTCGGCAGTTGCTTCTCGAGGAGTTCCACGATGTGCTCTACGCTGGACACTTCGGGAGTAACAAGACCCTTGCGGGGATTGCGAAGGTCTATTACTAGCCTCACATGGCAGACGACGTGCAGAAGTTCGTCACTTCGTGCGACACGTGCCAACGGATGAAGAGTAGTAAGCAGAAGAAAGAACAGCCTTGGCAAGTGGTCAGCTTGGACTTCATCACTGGATTACCACCTACCATAGCGGGGCATGACGCCATCCTGGTCGTCATCGACAAATTCTCAAAGATGGGACACTTCATTCCGACACATACAACTGTTAGAATCACTAGGCAAGAATGGATGAACTAGCAGAAGTTTGGGTACAAATATGAAACCCTAGTTGGGGTTGTACCCCATATTGGCTACCCCACTACAGCCTACAAGCATAATACAGTTTAACACACCCCCATAGGCAAAGTGGGGGAGAACAAAGGGTCACAAGACCAGTCCAGCAAAGCAAAGCAAAGCCCAGGGTGGATCACAACGTCACCACACTCCGAGCACAAGTAAAGGCCACAAGGCCAGTTCACATGCAGTGCTAGATATAGTACAAGACAAGCAACACAGTGATCAAAACCTAGCAAGCAAGCAACAAGATATATATAAAGTACAGTACAAAGAATGTCAAGCAGTGAGCAAGTGAGGAAACGTGGACACAAGGCCTAAAGAAGTACAGTGCCGCTGATGATCACTAGGCGGGAGCGCCTTGGTGAAGATATCAGCAGTGTTGGCCTTCGAGTCCACGTACACAAGCCGAAGCTGACCGCGCTGCTGAAGCTCTCGAGCAAGAAAGTAGCGAAGAGCAATGTGCTTCGTCCTGTGCTCCAGTCTGTGCTCCTGACACAAGGCAAGAGCCGCCTTGTTGTCACCGTACAGAACTGGAGGAGAACTAGGCCGCTCTCCCAAGTCAGTCAGCAGGTAGGTGAGCCAGCGTAACTCCTGTGCAGCCATGGCTGTGGCGTAGATCTCAGCCTCACAACTAGAGCCGAGAACAGAGGAAGAGCGGGTGGACCGCCACGAGACAGAACCAGAGCCAAGGCTGAAGGTGTAACCCTGTGACGACCGCTGCGTAGCCAGGTCGTCCACCCAAGAAGCGTCCGAGTGACCAGTGAGGACAACTCTGTCGCGTCCTCCAAGCACCAGCCCCATGCCTGATGTACTGCACAAGTAACGCAGCACCCTCTTAGCAGCCTCCCAGTGCTCTCGCCTGTGTCTCCCAGGCGCAACGTAACGAGCAAGGATGCTAAGAGGGTACGCGAGGTCAGGGCGCGTGCAAGTCATCAGGTACATGAGGCAGCCTACAAGCTCTGGGTACGGGCCACTCGGCTCTACGGACTCGTCCGAAGGTGGAGCTGAGAGCGAGTGGCTGGTAGCCAGAGGTGTGGCCTGTGGTGAGGAGAACTGGAAGCCGAAGCGCTGAAGGACCTGCTGCACCATGTGTGACTGAGTCAGGGTGATGGTGCGGCGAGCTCTGTCCCGGGTGATCTGCAAGCCAAGGTAGCTACGCAGTTCACCCAGGTCAGTGCAGGTGTGTCTCTTCTGCAGCTCCGACTTCACACGAGCGAGTGCCTCAGTGTCAGCAGTAGCAAAGACCAAGTCGTCGACGTACACGAGAATGTAGAACGGCGGCAGCGACGTGTCTGTGCGCAGAAACAGCGACGGGTCAGCAGTAGACGGCGCGAACCCAAGAGCCGCAAGTGTAGTCCTCAGTGTGTCGTGCCACTCACGTGGCGCCTGGCGGAGACCGTAGACTGGCCGGCGGAGACTCCACTGGGTACCAGGGGGAAACGACCCAGTAAAGCCAGGTGGGCGGCGCAGCCAGATCTCTTCGTGCAGGCTGCCCTGCAGGAACGCTGTGCTGAAGTCAAGAGAGTGAAGCTCGTAGTCACGCTGAGCAGCAACGTGCAGCAGAACCCGAAGAGTGGTCATCTTCGGGGTGGGGGAGAAGGTCTGGAAGAAGTCGACCCCCTGACGCTGACTGAAGCCTCTAGCAACGTAACGAGCCTTGAAGACAGGCGGAGAACCTGGCGGCCGCTTCACCCTGAAAATCCACATGCCATCGACGATGTTCGCCCCAGGAGGGGGAACCTCGTCGACGTAGGTGCCTGTGGACTTCCAGGATGCCATCTCTGCGTCCATGGCTGTCTGCCACTGAGAGGAGTAGGGACCCGAGATCGCCTCTGCGTAAGTGCGCAGAGTGGGGATGTCTAGTGCATCCGGGTCTCCCTCAGGGGCAAGCAACCAGGCCACGAGATGAGGTACAGCAGCCGCAAGAGAGTCAAAGTCCTCCTGCCTGTCCTCAAGGACGTCCGTGCCAAGAGCACACTCACCCCCGACGGACGGAGGACAGACAGACGCAGACGCAGGCTCAGCAACAAGGCTAGCAGCGTAGTCTAGACGACAGGCAGCAGCAAAGGCAACCAACTCAGCGACCAGAGCAGACGCAGCCGAGGACTCAAAGGTAGGGTCAGTGACAACAGTAGCTAGGAGACGCGTGACTGTAGGGTGCTCAGCGCGATACCGGTCAGACTCAGGGTCCGGAATGGCAGGCAAAGAGGACGCAGGAGGAGACGGTAGAGGGACACGCCGAGGAGCAGTAGAGGGACGCAGAGTCATGTAGTGAGTGCCTGGGACAGGAGGAGGACGCTCACGACGGACACGACTACCAGTGCGAGCAGGACGAACAGGCGACGCAGGACGAGACTCAGGCTCACGACGCTCTGTAAGACCTCCTGTGGGACCAGTGTAAGGAGAGGGAGCAGGGAGAGGCGAGGCAGGCGGTAACTGTGACTGCGGCTGGACAGGCGGAGGACACTCTACGGAGGGAGGAGGACAAGGAGGAGGAGCCTGCCCAAGAACCTGCTGAAGGAGCGGAACGAAGTACGGTCGCGGCCGCGCAGCGGCTCCAGAAGCAGAAGAGACTCCAGCGGCCGGGTCCTCAGTACCAGCAGGAGCTCCAACGTCCGGGTCCCCAGCACCAGCAGCAGCGCCACCGCTCGGGTCCTCAGCTCCAGCAGCAGCTCCACCAGGCGGGTCCGCAGCACCAGCAGCAGCGCCACCCCCAGAGTCGGCAGCTCCAACTCCACTAGTACCGCCAGCGCCAGAGTCCCCAGCTCCAGCAGCTCCAGTCGCAGTGCTCCCAGAACAACCAGTCCCGGTAGCTCCAGTACCCCCAACTCCAGCCGAGCCACTAGGACGGCGAAAGCGCCGGACGTACCAGTCACGAAGCTGCTGCGGTGTGAGAGACTGCTCAGCACCCCGAACCGGAGCACCCCCAGACGCAGTAACCCGAGGCTCCGTAGGCTCAGTAGCAGCACCCCCAGGCTCAGTACCCGTAGGCTCAGCACCCCAGACTCAGCACCCCCAGACTCCGCACACGCAGGCTCAGCACCCTCAGTCGCAGCACCCCCAGGCTCAGCACCCCCAGGCGGCAAACTCTCAGGCACAGTACCCTCAGCTCCAGCACCCGCAGTCCCAGCACTCCCAGGCCCAGCACCCGCAGGCTCAGCACCCCCAGGCTCAGCACTCCCAGCAGTACCACCTGCAGCAGCACCTGAGTCACCTGTGACCTCGACAGGCTCAGCGACGGGAGGAGGGTCTACCTGAGAGACACCTGAAGGAGCAGGACCCTGAGGGGGAAGGGGGTCTACCGGAGGGGGACCAGGAGCAAGGAAAAGCGGCGGGGGAGGGAGGGGGGCAGTGCGGTAGGGGAAGAGACGGTAAAAGGGAACCGACTCGTCAAAGGTGACATCCTGAGAGGCGAAGACCCGGCGCGAGGTGGGGTGGTAAAACTGCCAGCCAGGCGCGTCAGGGACAAAGCCAAGGAAGACACAGGGAAGCGTGCGGGAGGAGAGCTTGTCCGCAGACGTATCGCGGACAAGGGCACGAGCACCCCACACCCGGAAGCGCGACGCATCGCCAACCTCCCCCGTCCAACGCAGTGTGGGCGAGGTCTCCGGCAAGGAGACACGGGGCCAGAGGTTGAGCTGATGCGCGGCGTACCGGACAGCAAACGGCCACAGAAAATGGGGAGCCGCCGCGTGGACCAAGGAGGTACGAGCGACCTCCATGACCAGGCCAATGCGGCGCTCAGCAACCCCATTCTGCTGCGGGGAGTCCGGAAGCGTGAAGGTCTGCTCGATGCCCTCCGCCTGACAGAAGGTCCTCAAGAGATCGGAGGAAAACTCACCACCTCTGTCAGAGTGCAGACGCAGGACAGGAAGATCCGTCCGGAAACGGCGGCGGAGCTGGAGACGAACTGTGCGGATCCAAGGGATCAGAACAGCAGGGACCTCACCCTTGGTGCGCAAGGGGAAGACCGTGGTGTAACGCGAGTAGTCGTCGACAACCAGCAAAAAGTACCGCTCACCGCCCTGACCACGAACGCGGGCTGGGCCCCACACGTCCAGGTGGAGGGTCTGCAGAGGAGCCTCTGTCGGGGGGAACGAGGAGGAGTGAGGAGCGGCGCGCTGCCGCCCCTCGACGCAAGGAAGGCAAGGCGGCGCAGGCGAGGCAGGGAGGGGAGGGAGGGACCTGGGAAGACCAGACACAAGGTGGCGACGGTGCATGCCACGAAGGCGTGGCAAGGAGGGGTGACCCAGGCGGTGGTGCCAGAGAAGAGTCTGGTGCGACAGGGAACGACACTCACAGGCGTGGGCTGCCATACCTGACGCAGACACCTGACCGACAGCAGCGACCTGAGGAGACGCAGTGGTCAGTGTGTAGAGACTCGACCCCGGCCGACGGGTAAACGTAGCCAGGTGACGGCCGGTCCTGGAGCACGTGCAGATCGCCACACGCTGTCCTCCAGGGGTAAAGGTGTCAACCCACTGATCCTGGATGACAGCGTTGCTCACCAGGTTCGTCGAGAACGAGGGGAGGTGGAAACCCGACAACGAGCCAGACGGAACCGCCGGACAAGGGAGGACAGTGGTGGACTGGGCAAGGACTGGGCCCCCAGAGGGGTCAGCCAAGGAGACTGGGACCGGTGCAGGAAGCGGTGTGAGCTCAGTACTGTCACGAAAGAAGCAACGGGAAGCACCTGAGTCAAGGGTGAAGGTGTGACAGGCCTCAGCCGGTGCGGTACCTGAGAGAGCAGTCTCTGTGGGTGCTGTACCTGAGAGAGCAGACTCACTAGTACCCAGGGCAGCGGGCTCTATACCTGGGTCAGGCGGCACACACAAGTAACAGTCTCCCTCGGCACTAACAGTCAATGCATACATGGCAGCAATAATAGCATCATAGTCAAGAGCAAAGACATCAACACCAGCCCTCATGAGCTCAGCCCAGCGGGGGCGCTCAACATCCGCACCCATCTCCTCACGCCAAGCGTCGTCAAGGCGGGAGAAGCAGCGGTACGGGGTGTGGAACCTCCCACACGTCTGTCCCTTGCGGTCACCTGTGCGAATGACATAAGAACAGCGGCCACTGCCCCCCGACGTCCCACGCTGAGCAAGCCACTCACGAAGCTGCTGGGTCGTCTGGGGACGCTGCTGCTGCTGGGAGCTCTGGCCCGAGCCAGTGCCTCCACTCCGACCTCCGCCGCCACCACTACCACCGCTCCGACCGCCACCGCCACCACCGCCACCACCGCCACCGCCGCCACCGCCGCCGCCGCCACTACTGCCACTGCTCCCTCCGCCGCCCCCGCCTCCACCACCGACCCCACTCCCACCAGCGCTCCCGCCACCGCTCCCTCCAGCACCGCCTCCCCCCCCACCTCCCCCACCTCCTCCCCCCCCAGCGCCACCACCACCACCCTTGCCCCCCTTGCCCTTGCCGGTGCGGCGCCTCCCACCAGGAGCAGAAGCAGCGCCAACAGACTCAGCACCAAGGAAGTCAACAGCAGCAGCAGTAGCGTAGGAGGGAGCGAGGGGAGAGGGAGAACACCCCTCAAAGATGGGGGTGCGAGGAGCGCCACGAGCAGCACCGACAGCTACAATGCTCTTTTCGGCCGCTAGCAGCTGCTCCTCTAGGAGGGCGACTGTGAGCTCAGTGGGACAGCGAGCAAGGAAGTGGTCTCGAACTGAGCTGAGGGTGTCAGGGAGACGGGTGACTATGAAGTGGAGTGTCCAGTACAGTGGAGGGGGGTTCTTAGCGCAGAACTCGGTGGGAAGGGCGGCACGCAGGCGAGCATCACTAGTGCGAAGGTGGGTGATAAGATCGGCGACTGTAGCAAAGGTGGACAGATCGGGGAACAGGTACGGCAGCATGAGGCGGCTAAGCTCGGCTGTGGCAGGCGAGGAGTAGCGAGCAACGACAGCATCGTACAGGGCCTTAGCGGATTTGCAGTCGCCAAAATGCTCGAGCTCAGCTAGCGGCAGGTGACTGCGAATGGCTAGGCGAGCAGCTGCGTCACGAGTCTGCCAGTGGGAACGAACACTAAGCTCGGCTGTGGCAGCAGGAGCAGCGGCAGCACCAGACGCGTAGTCATAGAGGGAGATGTGGTCCGTGCTATTGCTCATAAGATACAACTGCAGGTCGTCGAGCCAGGAAGTGAACTGCACGGGACGGCCCTCAGCATCGAAGGAAAGAACGCGAATAGAGGCCATAGCTCAGGCGTGAGGGCACAGCAGAGCAGCGGCAGCAGCAGAGGGGACGCGCTAGAGCGAAGCTAGCAGCCACAGCAGGAGCAAGCGGCGGTGCACAGGCAGGGAGCAGCAGGCGAGGCGGGCGGCGCTGCAGGCGGGAAGTGCGGCGGGCGGGCTGCGAAGCGGGCAGCGGGACGGGCGGGCGACGCGGCGAGTGGGCAGCGCGGCGGGCGGCTGCGAAGCGGGCAGCGGGCGGGCGGGCGACGCTGCAAGCGGGCAGCGAGGCGGGCGGGCTGCGAAGCGGGCAGCGGGCGGGCGGGCGAAGCCGCGAGTGGGCAGCAAGCGGGCGGGCGACGCTGCGAAGCAGGTAGCGGGCGGGCGGGCGGCGCTGCGAGCGGGCAGCGAAGCGGGCGGGCCGCGAAGCGGGCAGCGAGCGGGCGGGCGGGCTGCGAAGCGGGCAGCGGGGCGAGCGGGCTGCGAAGCGGGCGGGCGACGCTGCGAGCGGGCAGCGAGCGAGCGGGCGACGCTGCGAAGCGGGCAGCGGGGCGAGTGGGCAACGCTGCGAGCAGGCAGCGCGGCGGGCGAGGGGCGAGCGGGCAGCGTGGCGGGCGGGCGACGCTGCGAGCGGGCGGCTCGGCGGGCGGGCGACGCTGCGAGGGGCGCGCGAGGGCGCTAGCGAGGGGCGCGCGAGGGCGCTAGCAAGGGGCGCGCGAGGGCGCTAACGAGGGGCGCGCGAGGGCGCTAACGAGGGTGCGCGCGAGGGGCGCGCGAGGGCGCTAGCGAGGGGCGCGCGAGGGCGCTAACGAGGGTGCGCGAGGGCGCTAACGAGGGGCGCGCGAGGGCGCTAACGAGGGGCGCGCGAGGGCGCTAACGAGGGCGCACGAGGGCGCTACGAGGCTAGGGCACGGGGTAGCGTGGTAACCGCATGCGAGCGGTGGTGGGCCCTAAAAAAACGGTCGGTAGGTCCTAGGGACCTCCTGCTCTGAATACCATGTTAGAATCACTAGGCAAGAATGGATGAACTAGCAGAAGTTTGGGTACAAATATGAAACCCTAGTTGGGGTTGTACCCCATATTGGCTACCCCACTACAGCCTACAAGCATAATACAGTTTAACAACAACCGCACGCACGGAGGAAACGGCACAGCTATTCCTCAAACACATAATCTCACAGCACGGGATCCCAACAACGCTCATATCCGACAGGGGACCCAAGTTTACTAGCAGTTCTGGAAAGAGCTCATGTCGCTCATGGGGACACGCCTAGCGATGTCATCTGCATATCATCCCCAGACCGATGGGCAGACAGAGCGCTTGAACCAAATTGTGGAACAACTCTTGCGCGCAGCGTGCAAGGACGACATTAACAAGTGGGACTTGCACTTGCCGGTGTTGGAGTTCGCCTACAATAATGCAAAGCATGCCGCAACAGGAGAGACCCCATTCTTCCTCTGTTACGGTCGACATCCGCTAACTCCTCAACAGCCGACAGTACCTGCAACTGTCCAACCCGCGCACGACTTCGTTACCACAATGCAGCAGCTTTGGGATCGGACACACAAGCGTCTACAGGACATACAGTCTTCACAGAAACGCTTGGCCGATCGCCATCGACGTGATCATACCATTGCGGTTGGTGACCATGTGCTTCTCGACACATGCAACCTCAACCTCGGTCACCTTCCATCCAAGTTACGACCTCGCTTTCGCGGACCTTTCCTCGTAGAAGAGCAGGTCACTCCAGTCACATTCCGCTTGCGCCTACCAGCTAGTTGGAAGATTCATAACGCCTTCCACGTGCAGCTTCTTAAACCCTATCGGGATCCAAATAAGCTGTACACGGGACGCCAACCTCCGCCGCCGCCTCCAGTCCTCGTGAATGATGAACTTGAGTACGAGGTCGAATCCGTGCTTGCACATCGTCGTCGTCGGCATGGCGCCCTGGAGTTTCTCATACGCTGGAAGGGATCCTTCAGAGGACAGCTGGGTCTCTGAAGAAGACATGAGTAACGCCCGACGTTCTCTTCGCGACTATCTTGTCAAGCAGGGTGTTACGTCTACCACCCAGCTTTGAGGGGGGGAAGTGTAAGAGTACGTCGACGTTCGACATATTTCTCATGTCCATATTTTTACTCTTCTTATTCTTCTATTTTCCTCTTTCATTTGCACTTTATTTCACCTCAATCGGACTACTATTCTATTTTCTAGAGCTTTCCGATTATTTCACTTATTTGTATTTTCGGCACCGACAATTACATTATACGGCACCGACAGCACCGACAGTGGTGTGTTAGAAGAACTAGGCAAGAATGAATGCATTGAATGAAACAGTTGGGTACAAGTAGCAAACCCTAGTTGGGAATGTACCCCATATTGGCTACCCCACTACAGCCTACCAACATATAACACATTACAATTTAACACACCCCCATAGGCAAAGTGGGGGAGAACAAAGGGTCACAAGACCAGTCCAGCAAAGCAACGCAAGCCCAGGGTGGATCACAACGTCACCACACTCCGAGCACAAGCAAAGGCCACAAGGCCAGTTCACATGCAGTGCTAGATATAGTACAACACAAGCAACACAGTGATCAAAACCTAGCAAGCAAGCAACAAGATATATATATAAAGTACAGTACAAAGAATGTCAAGCAGTGAGCAAGTGAGGAAACGTGGACACAAGGCCTAAAGAAGTACAGTGCCGCTGATGATCACTAGGCGGGAGCGCCTTGGTGAAGATATCAGCAGTGTTGGCCTTCGAGTCCACGTACACAAGCCGAAGCTGACCGCGCTGCTGAAGCTCTCGAGCAAGAAAGTAGCGAAGAGCAATGTGCTTCGTCCTGTGCTCCACTCTGTGCTCCTGACACAAGGCAAGAGCCGCCTTGTTGTCACCGTACAGAACTGGAGGAGAACTAGGCCGCTCTCCCAAGTCAGTCAGCAGGTAGGTGAGCCAGCGTAACTCCTGTGCAGCCATGGCTGTGGTGTAGATCTCAGCCTCACAACTAGAGCCGAGAACAGAGGAAGAGCGGGTGGACCGCCACGAGACAGAACCAGAGCCAAGGCTGAAGGTGTAACCCTGTGATGACCGCTGCGTAGCCAGGTCGTCCACCCAAGAAGCGTCCGAGTGGCCAGTGAGGACAACTCTGTCGTGTCCTCCAAGCACCAGCCCCATGCCTGATGTACTGCACAAGTAACGCAGCACCCTCTTAGCAGCCTCCCAGTGCTCTCGCCTGTGTCTCCCAGGTGCAACGTAACGAGCAAGGATGCTAAGAGGGTACGCGAGGTCAGGTCGCGTGCAAGTCATCAGGTACATGAGGCAGCCTACAAGCTCTGGGTACGGGCCACTCGGCTCTACGGACTCGTCCGAAGATGGAGCTGAGAGCGAGTGGCTGGTAGCCAGAGGTGTGGCCTGTGGTGAGGAGAACTGGAAGCCGAAGCGCTGAAGGACCTGCTGCACCATGTGTGACTGAGTCAGGGTGATGGTGCGGCGAGCTCTGTCCCGGGTGATCTGCAAGCCAAGGTAGCTACGCAGTTCACCCAGGTCAGTGCAGGTGTGTCTCTTCTGCAGCTCCGACTTCACACGAGCGAGTGCCTCAGTGTCAGCAGTAGCAAAGACCAAGTCGTCGACGTACACGAGAATGTAGAACGGCGGCAGCGACGTGTCTGTGCGCAGAAACAGCGACGGGTCAGCAGTAGACGGCGCGAACCCAAGAGCCGCAAGTGTAGTCCTCAGTGTGTCGTGCCA